ACAAAGAACAAGATTATTTTAAGAATAATTACTATCAAAGAACAAAGGATTATTATCAAGAATTTATTCGATACCTGGAATTCTACTGTTTATATACTGAAGATTCTTCTATACAAACGATGCCGGAGAAGCCTCAACTGGGCAAATTATTAGAGATTGAATCATCGAGGCTTAAACCATCAGCAGCTCTAGACAGCCGAGGTTCTGTCACACCGCCTCCATCCAGATCATCAGTCACGCCGCCGCCGCCGCCGCCGCCCGCAGTCACCGGCCTTTCCGCTGACGACACCTTTGTAGATGCATCAGCAAAACCACTGCCGCAAATGAAATCAAATAATAATCAAGCAAAAGAAATCAGGAACAGTAGCACTAGCAGTAAATTAGATGAAATGCTACGCAAGCAAAAAAGTAATTTTAAGGCGTTCTCTCGCACGATCACTAACATCAATTTGCAAGATATCTCAGAGAAATGGGAGTTCGAAGATATTTTAAAACACATCGAATCTTGGGCTGCTATCGATAATTTACACTGGGAGATCGATAGTGAGCTATACGAAGAAGACAAAGAATACGAGTGTACATTCAATTTCTATAAAAAGAATATAATGACATCAAAAAAATTCTAAATCAAAAAATGTGGTCAGCATCATTTAGAGCACAATCTACACCAACTATGGACATCCCTACATTCAGTGGTGACTATCATAAATGGAATTCATTTAAAGATTTATTTTTGGAGGCTATTCACAACAACCGATCTATGTCAAATGCTCAAAAGATGCAATTATTGAAAAGTAAAATAAAAGGAGAAGCTCATTCAACACCTAAACATAAGCACTGAAGACTATCAAATATGTTGGGATATTTTAAACCATAGATTCAACAATACCAAATTAATATTTAGTTCGCACATCAATATTGTCATGAGTTTGCCAATAATGCAACATCAAACAGCACCATTTATCAAAAAAATTCATGACACTGCCAATGAGTGTCTGAACGCCATAAAATCGCTCGGAGTGGACATCAGTTCCTAGGATCCTCTCGTGGTTCATATACTATCGCAGAAACTGGACGCTGAAACGCATAAGGACTACATTGAATCACTAAAAGGTCCACGAGAGTTACCGTCATTAAGATAATTTTTTGATTTTCTTGAAAAAAAATTTACTTCTCTAGAAGCTTCTAAACGGAAACAAGACAATATTACGCAAAAACCTACTTCACAAAACATGTCATTTATACCAAAAAAGCCTAATCAACAATATAATTACAATTACAATAAATATTCTGCAAATAATACATATCAATCGAACAAGCCGATTGCAAAAGCATTATATGTTTCATAAACATTTCGATGCCCTCATTGCAAAGGAAAACATGGCATTTTTAGAAGTGCCAAATGAAATGAAATTACAAACTATTCACAGCCTCCGCATCTGTATCAACTGTTTATACGATCATAAGGGTCAACAATGCATCTCGACAAAAACATGTAGTAAATGTATGAAACAACATAATACATTGCTACATGACGCATTCGTTAAATCAAGCCATTCAGATATCAAGACAACCGATATCGTCAATGTATCACAACAAAAGTCTTCGGAGATTCTTCTTTCAACAGCAGTAATCAAAGTATTGGCAGCAGACGGTACACTTTATACAATGCGAGCTCGCAGATATCTCTTATCACTGAGAACGCAGCACAACGACTCTGATTACCCCGTCATCGCTGTAGAGGTGTTGTATTCGGATTAGGCGCACAAGAGAACAACAGCAAGGGCATCAGCATCGGGCATCGGCCTCGGGCTATAACAGCATCGGCGTTATATACCGACTTCACCTTCAACACCGACGTCATCATAATGAACAATCTCATAAATAATCTCCCTAATCAATCGTTCCCTAAGCCATCATGGTCGTATATTGAAAACATCAAATTAGCGGATCCTGAATTTTACACACATCTATTCCCTTATCATGCTAGGAGGAATCATCAAAGGAGATAATGAATCACAACCAATTGCGCAACAGACCCAGTTATTATATAGTAGTTATTATGTGGTAACGTGAAGACATATCAATGCAACGTGATCTTGAACAATATCGACGACATTGAAAGGTTTTGGGCAGTCAAAGACATCGCTGATAATCCTGAATCTACATCATTAGAAGATCATTATTGTGTTCAACAATATACAGAACAAACAATACGACAAACGGACGGTCGTTACATCGTTAGAATTGCAATGAAACCAAACGCAATGGAATTATTCGGAGAATCTAAACAAAAAGCAGTTGCACAATTTTTAAATTTGGAGAAAAGGTTTATAAAAAGTCAATCCTTATCTAACGACTATCAAGCATTTATAAATGAATATATAAAACTCGGCCACAAGCAAAAAGTAAACAAAGGCACCGGTAACCAGACACCAACGTGTTACTTACCGCATCATTGCGTCATTCGCGCCGACTCTTCAACTACTGCACTGCGAGTTGTGTTCAACGCGTCATCGCCTACGTCATCGGGACATAGTCTAAATTATTTGATGTTTAGTGGACCTAACTTACAAAAAGATTTGTTATCAGTGATTTTAAGCTGGAGACAGTACAAAATTGCTTTCACTGCCGACATAGAAAAGATGTTCAGGCAGATCAAATTACATCAAGAAGATCAAAACCTTCATAGAATCATCTGGAAAGATCAAAACCAACCATCAACCAGCAGCAACAATCAAACACTACAAGAATATAACTTATCAACCGTCACTTATGGCACAAAGGCACCTTTCCTTGCGATAATGACGTTAAAGCAACTGGCGAAAGACGAGGGTCACAAGTTTTCAACCAGGACTAAGCAAGCATTAGAAGAAGAGTTTTATATGGACGATCTATTAAGTGGTAGTCACGATATCAACTCCGCAACTAAACTCAAAACTGAGTTAATAGCATTACTCAACTGCAGAGGGTTTAACCTTCGCAAATGGTCTTCCAATAACCTTGACATAATAAAAGGAAGTGAACCTGCCACACAACAAGCATCATTCGATTTTAAGTATCATGAATCGACTAAAACTCTTGGATTACGTTGGAGCCCTCAAGAAGATGTATTCTTATTCCAATTCAACTTAAGCAATTTAACATAAAAACCACTTTGCAAGCGCTTATTATTGTCGGAAATATCAAAGATCTTCGACCCACTTGGTTGGCTCTCCCCGGTAAGATGAAGAGAAGAGGAAGAGAAAGAAGAAAAAAAGAATGATCAAGCTGCCGAGAACAGCTGCGGTTAAGCTTGAGATCACTCCTGAGGCTAAAAACGGGAAATGATGTACGCCGAAGTTTTTCGCCGAGGGAAGGACGGAATCAGCCTGCAAGAGATGGGATCCACAATCGGTTTGCCGCCACTAGGGAAAAAATGTTGGAGGTACCTGGTGACGAGAGGGACCGAAAGGCTGACCAACTCGCCAATCGGCAACTATGGCAGACACTTGGTCTGTCATAGACACGAAGGGATAGAGTCGACTGCGGCTCGGTGGCGAAGCACTCACCACTTCGGCGCTTTTATGAGTCGTTGGTGGGAGGAGCCACGTCGACCAGCGAACGAAATCATGGCAGTGGGAATACTCCGTCTTACTGCTCGAAGGACGGAGTATTCCCACTGCCATGATTCCCGCAAGTGCAGCATTCCCGCAACCTGCCCGAGGAGTATAGCTCAAGGGGGAGGCTGAGAAGGGCCTGGAAGTAGAAATCTCCAAAACTGAGATTTTGGTGTTCCATGTCCCCAGACGAGGTCCTCCGACTGGGGCATCCCTAAGAGTGGAGGGTGAGGAAATTAGAATACAGCTAAGCTTAAAGTACCTGAGACTACTGCTTGACGGTAGATGGAAATACGACCGTCATTTTCGGCAATTAGCTCACAGGTTGGAAAAGGCAGCGGCAGCACTAGCCAGACTAGAGCCGTCGCTCAACGAGGCCAACCAAGCCCTTCTTCACAGACCGCAAACAGGGCCGTGACGGACTACAAAACCATCTCTTGATGAAATCTTTGGAGACAGCAATGACCAAGTTTCCAATGGAAACCGTTTGTAAATCCGTCGACGAATGGCCCGACAGTTTAAAAGCGTGTTAAAGCTATAGGTGGACACTTTGAATAACTAATTTAGTACGTTAACATATCTTTTTCACCCTATATAATCATCACATTCCACCACCAGCCCTTTTACGTCCCCGCTGCAGGGGCTCAGGCCTGCCTTATGGATGGTTAAGGAGGATGGGCCATGACCCTCCACGCTGGCCCAATGCGGATTGGAGGGTATTAACGACTGCAAATGCAGCCGGGACCAACGGCTTAACGTGCCTTCCGAAGCACGGAGTAGCTCGAGATAATAATTTTTGGTCACCCATCCCGTGACCGACCCCAGCAAAAGTTGCTTAACGACTACGATCGCGGGCCGCGGCGCTTATCCACTACGCCACCGAGCTACTGTAACAAAACTTATGGCTAGACTAGGTATTGATAATATATCTAGGCATTCGATTCATCATATTGATTCGTTATCTATCAAATTCAAATTGATAAATGTCAAATGTGACCTATTTTAATAACCAAACTGAGGGATGTACAATCATGGTGACCATCTACTGACACTGTCATAAACTATTTTGTCTTTTTGTTTTGTCCATTAGCGATTTTTCGGATTTTGTTTATTTATTTGTTTTCTTTGCATTATGTATTTGATATAAAGAAATCATTTTATGATAATAACATATAACACATTGATAGATGACCAAAAATAGATGGAAAAGTAAAGCCGTCATACATGTATTCTGTAAAAAAAATATGCAGTCAGTCAAATTCAGATAGGAGGCTTAATATAATCAAAGATAGAAGATTATTAAACAAGCATTATTTATTTTTATGACGTTAGAGACAAATTGTATTTCATGTAAATAATCAGCAATGCATATAATGAAAAGAATTGGGTATGGAAGGCATAGACAATGACATGTATGTACGCCTTTTCAAGCTTCACTTACGAAAACAACGGACTAGTATGTATGGAAGTGCGTTAGATTGATTGCGCCGCAAATTATTTACTCGGGTAAGATTTAAATATCACTAGTGACAATTTAAAATAATTTAATAGTATCTAACACCTTTGTAAAGTATTTTAAGTTTAAGTATTTTTCGGTGTTTTCTTGACAATCATTCTCACAAATAAACGGGTGTGTGCTCATTTATTATCTTTTCAGTAAATTGTTTTCGATTTTAGTAATGTTTTACTGCTGCTAAAGTGCATAATTCTGAGAATATTTATTATTTTGTTGTCATTGCGCGTAAGTTGCCGATTGTTATTTCGGCATAATCGACTTTACTTTGGAGGTTATGCTTATACAAAAAGTACTAATATTAATCATAATCTGCTCTTTTGTTTTTCAGTGTTCGTATATGGTGAGGAATGAATGTGTATAAATCAATATAATTTTGGCTTTATACAAAGGGAACAAATTTGAAATAAGCTGTATTAAAATCAGAATGGCAACTTTAGAGCAACAAGCATCTAAGCTGTTGGATTTCAACCAAAAGTTAGATATCAACTTGCTGGACAATATTGTGGGGTGTCTGTATTCATCAGTAGGAGAACAGCAACGCATTGCCCAAGACATATTAACAGCTTTGAAAGAACATCCAGATGCTTGGACGCGTGTTGATACAATATTGGAATATTCCCAAAACCAAGAAACGAAATACTATGCATTACAGATATTAGAACAGGTAATACAAACTAGGTGGAAAGTGTTGCCAAGAAACCAATGTGAAGGAATCAAGAAATACATTGTGGGCCTCATTATAAAAAACTCCTCTGACCCAGCTACTATGGAAAACAATAAGGTGTACTTGAAGAAACTTAATATGATTCTGATTCAAGTACTAAAAAGAGAGTGGCCACATAATTGGCAAACATTTATTAGTGATATAGTAGGAGCATCTAAGACTAATGAAAGTCTTTGTCAAAACAACATGGTTATATTAAAACTTCTAAGTGAAGAGGTGTTTGTGTTTAGTACAGGACAACTCACACAAACAAAAGCTAAACATCTCAAGGACACTATGTGTTCAGAATTCAATCAAATATTTCAACTTTGTCAGTTTGTTCTTGAGAATTCACAGAATGCTACATTGGTGGATGCAACACTTCACACTCTATTGAGATTCTTAAATTGGATTCCTCTTGGTTATATATTTGAAATGAAATTGATAAGTACTCTAATTTTTAAATTTCTTAATGTACCTATGTTCAGAAATGTGACACTGAGTTGCTTGACTGAAATTGCTGGAGTCACTGTTAGCAATTATGAAGATCAGTTTGTAGCATTGCTTGTACAAACAATGGAGCAGTTAGAGGTAATGCTGCCACTATCTACCAATATCCGAGAAGCTTATGCTGCAGGCCGTGATCAAGAACAAGTATTCATACAAAATCTCACCCTTTTCCTATCAACATATCTGAAAGAACATGGATTACTTATAGAAAAAAGGGGACTGACAACTACTCTCATGAATGCCCTTCGGTATCTGGTGTTGATATCAGAAGTAGAAGAGGTAGAAATCTTTAAGATTTGCTTAGAATTTTGGAATGCTTTGGCTGCAGATTTATACAAAATTAGTCCTCATTCATCGAGTCTTTATAGTTTGGGAAAGAGTGTTGGAGGGAGAGCATTGTATGCTGATGTGCTGAGCAGTGTCCGTTATATAATGATATCTCGAATGGCAAAGCCTGAGGAGGTACTTGTGGTGGAAAATGAAAATGGAGAAGTTGTCAGGGAGTTTATGAAGGATACTGATTCTATAAATCTTTATAAAAATATGAGGGAAACTCTAGTATATCTCACTCATTTGGATTATCAAGATACAGAGCGTATAATGATAGAAAAATTGCAGAACCAAGTAAATGGAACAGAATGGTCTTGGAAAAATCTCAATACCCTATGCTGGGCTATTGGATCAATTTCAGGAGCTATGATGGAGGAAGATGAAAAACGATTTTTAGTTGTTGTAATCAAGGAGCTACTGGGTCTGTGTGAACAAAAGAAAGGAAAAGACAATAAAGCTATCATAGCTAGCAACATAATGTATGTTGTGGGACAATATCCACGGTTCTTAAGAGCACACTGGAAATTTTTGAAAACTGTTGTAAATAAGCTTTTTGAGTTTATGCATGAAACTCATGATGGTGTACAAGATATGGCTTGTGACACATTTATTAAAATAGCGTTGAAATGTCGTCGACACTTTGTCACAACACAGGTTGGTGAAGCTTGTCCATTTATTGAAGAAATTTTAAGTACAATCAGTTCTATTATTTGTGATCTACAAACATTACAAGTACACACTTTTTATGAAGCTGTTGGATACATGATCAGTGCTCAAATTGACCAGGTGGCCCAAGAACAGCTTATTGAAAAATATATGCTGCTGCCTAATCAAGTTTGGGATGACATTATATCACAAGCGTCTCACAATGTTGATATTTTAAAAGATCCTGAAGCAGTCAAGCAGCTCGTGAGTATACTTAAAACGAATGTACGTGCATGTCGTGCATTAGGGCATCCTTATGTTGTTCAACTTGGAAGAATATACTTGGACATGCTCAATGTCTATAAGGTGATGTCAGAAAATATTAGTCAAGCTATTGCATTAAATGGTGTTGTTGTCACCAAGCAACCCCTAATAAAAAATATGAGAATAATAAAGAAAGAAACATTGAAGTTGATTGCTAGTTGGGTATCCCGCTCTACTGATTGTAGTATGGTGTTGGAAAACTTCATACCCCCTCTCTTGGATGCTGTTCTCTTGGATTATCAAAGGACTACAGTTCCCGATGCTCGAGAACCTGAAGTACTATCATGTATGGCTGCTATTGTGTATAAACTTGGGGGATATATTACTTCTGAAGTTCCAAAAATCTTTGATGCAGTTTTTGAATGTACACTTGAGATGATTAACAAAGATTTTGAGGAATATCCTGAGCACAGAACAGAATTCTTTTTATTATTGCAAGCAGTTAACACACATTGTTTTAAGGCATTCCTCAGTATACCACCAGCACAGTTCAAGTTGGTACTGGACTCAATAATTTGGGCATTTAAACATACAATGAGAAATGTTGCAGACACAGGCCTTCAGATTTTGTTGGGTTTATTACAAAATATGGAGCTACATCCACAAGCGGCACAAAGTTTCTACCAAACATATTTATGTGATATTTTGGAGCATGTGTTCAGTGTTGTTACTGATACTTCTCATGGTGCTGGCCTGACAATGCATGCAACTATTTTGGCATACATTTTTTCATTAGTGGAGGCTGGACGTGTTACTGTTCCCCTTGGACCAACTCCTGATAATGTTGTTTACATACAGGTATGTTAGTAATACTACATAGAAATCTGAACAATTATTGAAATTTCAAAGAAAATACTAACATTGTATTTTTCTTGTTTTCAGGAATATGTAGCAAACCTCTTAAAAATAGCATTCCCTCATTTAACGGACAATCAAATAAAGATAACTGTTCAAGGCTTGTTTAATCTGAACAATGATATTCCTGCTTTCAAAGATCACCTAAGAGATTTCTTAGTCCAGATAAGAGTAAGTTAACTTCAATTTAACTAATTAATTTAACCTACTACATATTTTATTTAGCTACTTATAAGGTATAATTTGCAGAAATTGGATAAGCAACCTTGGTTTATTATGTAAGATTAATATAAATATATTAGTAACTAGTAAATTAATGAACAAGTCATAATCTCTGAACTTCAATCGCCTATCAAAAAAGTTAATTTTATTCACTTACCCTAGATTATTTCAGAATTTTATTTGACTGTATTTAGCACTTAATACTAAACTTTAAAACACAGTTTAGATTGACATTTTAAAGTTATTCTTTGCAAAACTATAGAACACCATGTTATTCTAAATTTTACATACAAATTTCTTTGTTTTATGGAATTCTGTGTGTATTTAGAATTTATTTATGTTAGCACTTGTGTCTGATAGTAAGATATCTAAAATTGTGAGACAAAATCATTAAATGACAATTTATTAATGTTATTAACTTGCAAGAAAGTAGTATTTTTTTACTTTTTCTTCCTTAAACCCTCAATGAAAGATACATATATCATTTTTAGGTAATCTTAATTACTGTTAACAGTTAATAAATTATGTTTTAGGATTATGTTAGCATAATATAATTATAAGAAATACTGTTGTACAGTTTATGACACAGGGAGAGGCATTCATCTGATTCTTATTTTTTCTTACACAGATTAGGAGTCAAAAACTAGGCAAAAATTGCCTTACGTAATATATGGATGTATAAAATATTATATTCTGGTTATTGCTGTTTTTATATTACAAAAATAAATCAATATTATACTATCACATATATTGCTTGGATCCCAAATTCAGTTGCTTTTAACGGTTGTATTATGGAAATCCGAAACTATGAAGGTACCACAACACTCAGCCCTGGGACAATATAAAAAATATAGTTTATTACATTAACCCGGCCTCTGAGATGGTGGACACCTTGAAACCGTCGTAAAAGTCACACCATCACAGAGGTCTGAGAAAATTCTTTCTTATTTTCCCTAATAGCAATATTTGGCCCATAAAAAATGTCAAAGCTGTAAAGAATATTATTATTGATTTATTGCCTTTTGCATTATAAAATTACTATTATTTTCAGGAGTACACAGGTGAAGATGACAGTGATCTGTATCTTGAAGAGCGACTGATGGCGCTCCGACAAGCTCAGGAACTGAAGCGACGGGTTCAGCTCTCGGTGCCCGGTATCCTCAATCCACATGAACTGCCTGAGGAAATGCAGGATTAAATATCCTGATGAATTAACAATTTGGTAACAGTTCACTTCAGATATGGAATGCTAATATTATAAGGTGAAAATAAACATTAATTAAACACTATAATAATGTTATGTTTATCTGTACAATATATTAAGATGAATAATAAGCAAATTTAATTGTTTCTTTTGTCAACCACTGCCTTGTATAAAAATTATACAGCAGTTAAAATGAGTACTTAAGTTTTTATTGGGCTTTTTTTTTAATTCATCTAATTAAATTTAATTCATCCTTTATTAATGTGGCCTATAATCTATTAAAAGTGTTAATGAATTACGAATATCTTCACAAATTATCTACAATATAGATCTTACATGAAATCCACTTTACATGAAAAGCTATGGAAATATTCTCACTATATATCTAATAAGAATAATAAATGGAATGCCCGTTTTTTTCTGTTGTATTTTTATTAAATATTTAAGTATTTATTTTGATGACTAACATTCAAATTAATATATTTCTTAGTTTGTTAATATGAATCGCAGATATAATGTAGGATATATTATTCAATTTAATTGTAGTCACAACAACAAAAATGATGGAAATTTAATCAATGGCACTTAAACATAGGTAAGTATATCTCAAGTGAACTGTTACCTAAAAGTGTTAACAGGTCTGTTACTTGTGCCTATAAAATATTACCTCATATTAGATTATGCAAAGGACTGTATGAAACAGTGTAAGGTGATGTATGCAAGTGTGGTTTACGACGCGAATTTTTTCTATGATGTTATATTTTGCAAGCACAAGGCAGTGTTGGGCCCTTCTTAATTTTAGACAGTAATGCATCAATTTACATTGCTAGATGATGAATAGAATATTTCTATGTTTTTAAGTAATCTTCAATGTAGGTAATGAAATCTCTGTGATGGAAACCAGTGTCGGATGTTCTAAATGTGCGCTACGGAATCTTGAGTATTACTGAGTAGATTCTAGGTAAAAGTGAATCGCTGTTAGTAACATTTTTATGTTTTTTTTGTTTAATGTTATCTAAACTAATTTCGTAATGGTTTGGGAATCTAAGAAATCAAATAGGTTTCCGAATGCATTTTGGATCCGATTGTCAGTCTTTCAATTTTGTGTTTTAATAAACCAATAAACAATAAAAATGTTTTTTAATTAATAAAATTGTTACAGGTTGTTAATTATAAAAAGCAATTCAGCCTAAGGTTTTTTTTTTTTGGTGGAAATTATTTTATTGATCTTGTTGTTCACAATTGAGAAGTTTGATCTTGATATTATTATATTTAAGATATGTTGAAAATATAGGACAAAAGTAAAATAAATCAAAAAACAAAATCAGAATCCGTTATTAAATGACCGTGATTATATTTAAACTGCGTGTCAAGGAATGTCTGGCCACCGACTCGCCTATGACGTCACAGCACTGAACTCTACATCGTCGCACTACAAATTTAATAGAAGTCTGCAAATTATTTATCATTTTCTACTTATTGGGTTCTCTGGCGTTGTTTTTAGGTAATAATGGACACTAAATATAATTTTTATGTAGTTTATTTTTATATTTCCATAATAATAAGAAAAAGACATCTATAAATCTTCTAAACTACAATAGATTAAGATAATATTTTTAATGTGTTTTAGACTTGTTTAGATACCAATCATTCTTAATACATAATGCTTCAAAAATCCACTTGGTCCCTGACACCCTGAGATGGGAATTGAACCCACAACGTTTCGCAATCCGGGAGTATTAAGAATAATTTACAGTATGGCATAGTGAATACAAAATTAATCAAAAATATAATAATTAGATACCATCAGTTTAAAAAACAGGCAAGGCAAGTTTTTATTATGCTTATTCTTTCATTTTAAATAGAAAAAAATAGTAAACTTGTCAATGAGGAAGTATTAAAAAAAAACATTAGTTCCCGAAATAAAACTAGATGTCGCTACGGTACTTTCATGATTTCTCCATGACAACCCTTCCGGTTTTCTTTCATTCTTTAAAGAAAATCAGTTTCCAAAACTCAATAATCAACTCATATTCTATTTGTACTTTTTCATATTTGTATTGATATCTAAGTTTCGAACTTTTTAAATTTCAGTTTTTTAATATGTTAGTTAAAAGGAACGGAAATGACTATCTTTGGGCCAATCGTTTCCAGCAAAAATGGGTCTGACGCAGAACGTGCACTTCGCAAAATGTGCACTTGACAAAAAATGCGCTTTTCGCATTTGGTGCACTTCTCAAAATGGGCACTTCGCAGAATGAGCATTTCGCAGAATGAGCATTTCGCAAAATGAGCACTTCGCAGAATGAGCACTTCGCGGAATGAGCACTTTAAGTGGAATTTTTTAATTAATAAAAAAGAAATGGGTACTGCGTATTTAAAATCAAATAAACACTTTTACAACGTATTTATTTAAAAAGTAATTAAACCCGTAATTAAACTTTTTATTACCCGCATTAGTTCCAGCAAACCACATTCCAACTGCCTGGAACTATATTTTAAATCGTGCTCCAGAAACCCCAGAAATGAGGCAATTTCAAAATTACTATGAAAAAACATATTACCCAAAAATGTTGCCATCGATTCTGAGTTGTGCAAATTAAAGACATAGGACAACTAACGTATTAGAAGCATGGCATCACCGTGTCAATGCTCGTGTACCCAAAAATCCTTTTTTTTTACGCTGAGAAATGCATTCCGCATGTCCGCTCCCCCCATGCGATGGGGTTCACGGGGTCTGTGGGACTCCTCCTGTGGTCCCGCCCCCAGAGTGGGGGAAAAAGCCAACATCACGCGGTGTTCCTAGGCTACCCAAAAATCCTAACTAATACATGTTCATCCAAAAATTAAAAAAAAAAGAAAGCAAGTATTGGGATCGTCATATACGTAACAGTTTATTTATGAATGTCAAAAGAAATCGCAAGCAAAAAGATATTGTTTTCGATCGCAAATATAACAGGCTGTTGGGTATATTAGAAAATGGTAATGTAACAGTGCCTAAGTTTTTAAAAAAAGTATTTTTTTGCAGTTTATGAAGTAATTCACTTAATAACATTTTTCTATATTGTATAATTACCTGCTGAAATCTTCATACTATTTTTTGTTAAAAATAGGTGAGATTAGCATATAATTTATTGATCTAAAATGTGATTCTTATTTGTATTTACAGTTATTTTCGTAAGGGTGATGTCAAGCATTTAAAAAATGGGTAATTTTTTGTTTGTGCATTAAAATAATCATCTAGGTTTTCGTATCTGTTTTATTAAAATTATTGAATATTTTTAATTGACAATCAAAACCTAGTGGACTTAATTACTTTTTAAATAAATGATTACGTTGTAAAAGTGTTTATTTGATTTTAAATACGCAGTACCCATTTCTTTTTTATTAATTAAAAACTTCCACAAAAAGTGCTCATTCCGCGAAGTGCTCATTCTGCGAAGTGCTCATTTTGCGAAATGCTCATTCTGCGAAATGCTCATTCTGCGAAGTGCCCATTTTGAGAAGTGCACCAAATGCGAAAAGCGCATTTTTTGTCAAGTGCACATTTTGCGAAGTGCACGTTCTGCGTCAGACCCGCAAAAATATCTTTATTTCTCCTCACAAATTCACATACTACACTATGGGTACATACATTTTTTTTGTTGATTATTTTACACGTTAATTTGTGGGAGACTGGTGTCTATAGTAGGCTTAGCCTGAAATGATAAATCAACAGGTTCCCACCCCACGATCGATCTCTTATTTTCATATAAATTTAAGCAATATACCTATTGCTTAAACTACAAATACCATTACTGTTAATCTCGACCTTTACATTAATTTATAACGCACAGTAAAACAAAACACTATATTTAGTCTATGGCACAACTTATTTTAAAGGTATGGCATAACTTATTTTAAAGTTATGGTATTAGCATCTTCTCTGTTTCATCATATGATAACTTTAACGAAAACTTAAAAGTTGGCTAACTTTTAAGTTTTCGTTTACAGTTAAATTTTGTTAATGAAAAAATAGTCAATTTACTGTTGATTTTATTATATAAATAATTCCCCAAAAAAGGAAAAAAATTATGTGATAGACTCGCACTAAAAGATTGGATGGTGCAAACTTTACCCTTTCTTCTTTTGTTTATATTTATTTCATTGTGATAACATAATTGGGAGTGTTTTCTCAGAGTTACAGAAAGGATAAAAAGTTTTCTTACCGATAATACATCCCAAATCCTATACAGATCGTCAGTAGGATAATAAAACGATAGGTTGGCACCGACTTTGAGAATAGCTCTCTGTGCTTTTTCGATTAGTAGAATTTGAGACTTAGCTGCCCCTCCCCAGTAACATATTAGCGATTGGCAGAGCGAGTAATAGATAATCCTCAGAGTCTGTTTAATTGCCACTTTTCTGAGGGTTTTGAATACAAATATAAATTTTCGTAATCTTTTCACAAGTTGCTCAATGTGTAACTTAAAAGTTAAACAATTGTCAATCACTACACCCAGATATTTAATATTAGTAACACGTTGAAGATTGGGACATGTACACTGCTGCTCTGTATCAAGATGGTTTGTATGAGATATTATGTTTAAAGTGCTAGAAACTAGATGGTAATTTAGGTTTATATATATGGAAGGTTATTTTACTTCGAAGAAGATTCGAAACTTAGATATCAATACATATACGAAAAAGTAAAAATAGAATATGAGTTTTGAAAAAAAATTTACTTTTATACATAAAAGAAAACTGGAAGGGTTATCATGGAGAAATCAAGAAAGTGTGTAGTGGTATCTAGTTTTATTTCGGGAACTAATGTTTTTTTTTAAACACTTCCTCATTATTAAAAGTGGCGTTTAGCTACGGTATACAATAATTATAATAAAAATCTGTTTATTACTGACCCGATATGTATCAAACATGCTAGGTATTCGTACAAAATAACATGACTTCTGGCTAGAATGACGTTTGTGCAAAGTACAACGTGCAAATAAGTTTTCCTTTGGAAATTAAGAATTAAAAACAACTATGATCAGTTATTAAATCTTATATTTATAATTTAATCATGTTAAAAAAAATTAATGTTCCCATGGCACCTCCAGGGGTGACCTCCAGGGGAGCCATGGGTCCGGAAGGGTGAATAGAATCAATTGAAGTTACGAGCAACCAATAAGTTGGCTATCACTAATGTGACATATAAACCAAACATCGTTCCTTTACACGTATCATAACAAATAACTTAAACTTACGATTCGAATAAAATAAAATTAGTTTGAAAGCTAGATACAATAAGAAACACGATACTCAATTTACTTTTATTACGTCAGAAACAAAATTTAAATGAATATAATAGACAAGATCCAAACATAACTAGTGACATCTAGTTTGATTTTGTGGCGACTATAGACAGATATCCTATAGCGACATCTAATTCATCGCAGTAACATCGCCACAACAATCGATAGCGAGAAGACTAGCATCGTCACAGCCATCGATAGCAAGACGAACTGCAATAAGTTTCAACAGCAAGTAACGAGATGGCGCTGTACCAATACAAGCAGCATAAATTAATAACTACAAGACATTTAGAACAAAGAAACCTTTAAGCATAAATAGAACGTCCAACCTACATCGGAAGAACTAATTTTTAGTTTTTAAATACTTCCTCATTGCTTGTACGATCAGTGCGGTCCGCCGTATGTTCGATCGCGTGGAGACATCGTATCGTTCGGTACGACAGTGTGACCATATAATGATCATGGTCACAATGATAATTTCTTCATCGTCATGTATTCGATGATGTCTTTAGGTGGTTGAATGAAAACACTAAATATAAAATCAATAGATAGAACAGTTGTGAATAAAAAAATTAATCAAACATCGATTAGCTTCCTACGTATTTAGTGATCTGTGGGTATTCCTATTAGTGTTAAACAAAGGTATTTTTTTTTTTTCTATTTATTTGGGTAAACAAACAGTTACAAAGTAATTACAATATATTAATTAGTAGTAGTATACTATAGTACTAACTTTGACACCAGCACCGTTTACCACATATTTATCAATTACATACAATTAAGAGTGAAAGTAAAGTATATAATGAAGGTGTTATGGGTGTCATACAAAATCATAGAAAGAGAAGGGACAATACAAGAACTTGGCGCAGATCGCAAGATTAAGTTACATGTAAATATAGTTTTGTTACAC